TGGATGATAATGGAATAGTTTAGGTTAGATGGGCTTCAGATTGGTTTTCACAGGTCGGCGCAACATCGAGGGCCGAAGGGCCTGTACTGCGCTGTAATGTTCTATGTTCTATGTTTACAGCATGACCCAAGTGGAGTTTCCTCCCCAGCCCAATGACATCAAGATCCAACCATAAGTGAAAGATGCCATCTGCACCAAACTCAGTTCAGACTGACAATTGTTGAGGCAGTACATTTTTAAGAGTTTGTATCTGTCTGCCTTCCAGCTCTGCAATTTTAATTATGTGAAAGACTTAACAGTCATTGTTGGCTGTTCACCCAATTGTTGAAGAAGTGCACAGATGCTATCTTACTGTTTCTCTCCTTCCACCTATTCCACATATAGAAATGTTTCAGTTCAGGTAACAGGGAAAACCGAGGACTCTCCTGAAACACAGAGCTCAGTTACTTATGGGACAGACTTGCAGAACCATCAGTAGCTGCTCCTTTGAAGGATATAGTTCAAGGCTCTTCTCTGTACTACCCAGAAAGCAGAGAATGTAATCAGTGACCACAGTTTTTGACTCCGGTCTGTTACTTTCTGGGTTTGGGGGCTGATCCGGCTGGACGAGACAGTAGTAACAAGCGACAGCCTGCTCAGCTATGCTGGAAACAAACAAAGGCATTTCACTTAATACACAATCTTTAGCCTGACATCATCAATTCGCTGCACGCATAACGGATCATCTCAGGCTCATTTCCTCCAAGGACAGCATCTCTTGGAGAATTAGCTCCCCTCCCTCCACACAGAGTGCAACACTCGGTCATCTCTTATATTTGTGACGGATGTTTACAAAAGCTTCATGGAAGAATGTCTGATGCTCTAGATTTGGCCTGTGATTTCACATAGAGATCATTTTTATTAGTTTTCTCCTTCCCTGGATTTTACTAGAGCTGTATTGTCCAATGTTGCTGCTGACCACAAGATCAATGGGGAATCGGGATGTGGCCAATTACAACACCAATAACTGAACAAAACCACAATTGATTGAGGGTCTTCTGGTTTCAATTCTCCGATTCATAATGCGAACGTGAACTTTTAATTTTCTGTTTAACGTCTTAGCAAACAGCATAACAGTGCATAAAAGTTCTTGAGTCACTTTGAATACTATACTCCCTTGATTAGTGAATGGAGACAGATAGGTGGCTTAGTGCCACAAAGCCAGACTATCAATCCAGAAACCCAGGTAATATTCTGGGGACCTGGGTTTAAATCCCACCATGGCAGATGGTGGAATTTGAATGCAATTAAAAAATCTGGAATTAAGAGTTTAAAATTAACCACCATTGTCGATTGTCAAAATAACCTGGCTAATTCCCTAATACCTTTTAGGTCATCTTTACCTGGCCTGGTCTACATGTGACTTCAGTCCCACAGCAATGTGGTTGACTCTTAACTGTCCTCTGAAATATCCTAGGAAACCACTCAGTTGTTACAATTGCTAGAAAGTCTCAAAAAAAAAGAAGAAATCAGACACACCGCCTGGCATCGACTTAGGTACAACAGCAAAAACAGCCCTGTGACCCTGCAAAGTCCTCCTCACTAATATCTGGGGGCTAGTGCCAAAACTGGGAGAGCTGTCTCACAGCCTACTCAAACAACAACCTGACAGTCACATTCTCTCAAAATCATACATATTACAACACAGGGATAGCAAACCAATCCAAAACAGCCTCACTGCGGAGACTTACTTATTTATTACATACTCAGATTCTTGTCTCAGAACATTCAGCAAGTTGATAACTGGAGAGAACCTAGAGAGACATTAAAGGCTAGCAAAAAAAAAAACACAGCATTCTAGAAACAGCGTGGAGTTGAGGAACACCTCCGGTCAGGCAGCATCAGAGGAGGAGGAAAGCCGACGTCAGTTTCAGAAATGAGGAAGGGTCCCAACCCAAAACATTTGACTTTCCTACTCCTCTGATGCTGCCTGGCTGCTGTGTTCCTCCAGCTCCACACTGTGTTATCTCAGACTCCAGCATCGGCAGTTCTTGCTATCTCTGAGTGACAGCATTCTAGAAGCTTCCTTGACAAAACCTGCCACTTGACCAAAACCTAGTCAGCATCTGTTCCCTCTTTATTTCTTTTTATTTAAAGCATTCTGTGATTGGTCGGCCAGCACCGGTCCTCCCTTGATTGACCAAATCAGCATCTATCAAGCTTCCAGTCTTCAAACATCTGCAGTGTTTTTAAAGCAGTCATTAACCTGCATTATTTTTCAAGGACAGTTCCCTACAGCAAACTTTTTAAAACAAACGGCTGTTTGAAGTTTAATTCTCAACTACAACTCTCAGTTCTAAACCGAGACTGAGAAAAATAAAAGAAAACACAGCATCGGTTGCAATATACCAAACAGGTAATGTCCCAGGCACCATCGCCATCTACAGCAGGACAAGCACAGTACAGTGGTTTAAAATCAAAACAGCATTCCCTGGGAGTCTCCAACATTGACTCTGATGCCACGAGACTTCATAGTGTCCAAGTCAAACACGGGTGAAGAAATCACCTGTTTACCATGAGGGTCATGCTCATTGTCCTCTCTGGAATCAGTGCTCCTCCATAACAACACATTGGGGAATCAGTAAGGCCAGCAAGAGCACAGGAAGTACTCTGGGTGGGGGACATCAACGTTCACCAAGAGTGGCTCAGCAGCAGTACTACTGATTGGGCTGGTCAGCTCCTAAAGGACATAGCTGCTAGACTGGGTCTCTGGCAGGTAGTGAGAGAAGCGACAAGAGGGAAAAACACACTTGACCTCATCCTTATTAATCTGCCAGCTGCAGATGCATCTGTCCATGACAGTATCAGTAAGAGTGATCACCGCTTTGTCCTTGTGAAAATGAAGTCCTATTTTCACATTGAGAATGACTTCCATTGTGTTGTGTGACACTATCACTGTGCTAAATAGGGCAGACTTCAAACAGATCTGGCAACTCAAGACTGGGCATCCACGAGGTACAACAGCAGAATCAAACTCCAACACGAACTGCAGTCAATCCCTCACTCCACCATTACCATCAAACCAGGAGATTAACCTTGGTTCAAAGAAGAGTGCTGGAGGGCAGCACCAAGCTATGGGCCCTGAAAACATTCCGGTAATTGTATTGAAGATTTGTGCTCGAAAACTTGCTGCTCCCCTAGCCAAGCCATTCCAGCACAGTTACTGGCATCTACCTAACAATGTGGAAAATTGCTCAGATCTGTCTTGTACATCCAACCCAGCAATTACCAGTCTACAGTAAAGCGTTGGACACTATCATCAAGAATACTATCAAGCAACACCTGCTCAATGACGCCCAGTTTGGGTTCCACCAGGACGACTCAGCTCCTGCCTTCATTACAGCCTTGGTTCAAACATGGACAAAAGAGTTGAATTCCAGAAGTTAGGGGAGAGTGCCAACTCTGGATATCAAGGCTGCATTTGTTTGAGCGTGGAATCAAGGTGCTCTAGCAAAGCTGGAGTCAACGGGAATCGGGGGGAAGCTCTTCACTGATTGGAGTCACACCCGGCTCAAAGAAAGATGGCTGAGGTTGTTCAAGATTAGTCACCTCAGTTCCAGAACCTCTGCAAGAGCTCCTCAGGGTATTTATTTTCCAACTGACCTGTTCAAAAATGTTATGAAACACTTTTGGTGTAGGTGAAACTTGATGCCAAGCCTCCTGGTTCTGAAGAAGGGACTTTACCACTCCGCCAGACAAGGTCCTCAAAGTTCCTCAGGATAGTGTCCTAGTTCTAACCGCCTTCAGCTGCTTCAGCCATCCCTCCATCATAAGGTCACAAGGGGGGATTTTTGCCAATAGTTGCAAAAATGTTCAACACCATTCATGACTCCTCAGATACCAAATGAGCTGATGTTCAAATGTAGCATGAACTGGACAACATCCAGGATTGGGCTGAAAAGTGGTGAGTAACATTCAGGACTATCACCAATAAGAGACATTCAATGGTGTTACGATCACTGGATCCTCCATATCAACATCCTGGGGGTTATCATTGACCAGAAACTGAACTGGACTAGCCACATAATAGAATGGAAACAACAGCAGATCAGATGCTAGGAATTCACAGCAACTAAGTCACCTCCTGACCTTCATCTACAAAGGCACAAGTCAGGACTGTGATGGAATACACCCCATTTGTCAGGATGCGTGCAGCTCGAACGATACTTACAGAGATTTCTTTTTCTTTATTCATTCACGGGATGAGGGCATCGTTGGCTCGGCAGCATTTATTACCCATCCCTAGTTGCCTAGAGGGCAGTTCAGAGTCAACCACATTGCTGTGGGTCTGGAGTCACACGTAGGCCAGATCAGGTAAAGATGGCAATTTCCTTCCCTAAAGGGCATTAATGCTATCCAAGACAAAGCAGCTGCTTGATTGGTCCTACATCCACAAACATCCACTCCCTCCACCACCAATGCTCAGTAGCAACCGCATGTATTATCTACAAGATGCACTGCAGAAATTCACCAAGGTTTCTTAGACTGCACCTTTCAAATTCATGATCAATACCATTTAAAAGGACATGGGCAGCACATACACAGGAACACCACCACCTGCAACTTCCCTCCGAGCCACACACCATTCTGACCAATGCTTTCTCTAAGCTGTACAGGTATGTGTGATGCAGCCATTCCACATTCCCACACAGTGTTGGCATATCAATTATGGCACTGACTTCCGATTCCGGAAATCACTGCCACACACAGATCTCAGAAGTCCATACAGTCGGAAAGAAAATTAGAGGGATCACTAATCCTGACTTGGAAATATGTCACTGTTCCTTCAGTGATGTTAGTTCAAAGTCCTAGAATTCACTCCCTATAACGGATAGACTTCAATGGCTCAACAGCCCAGTACACTACCACTTTCTCAAGGGCAATTTGCGTTTGGCAATAAATGCTGGACCAACCAGCAAAGCCCACATTCCTGAATGAATATTAAGGGGAAAAAAAAGGGCCATTTCTGGCTGTTCTGATCATTTGAAGGGGCTTTACATTTAGCTCCACTGCCTAGGTCTGTCTCCCGAGGCCTTTCTAGTAGTGCTGCACTGTTGAAGTTGCTGTGTTTTGGATGCAACATTAAACCAAGACTCTATTCCCATAAAGGTGGGCATAAACGATCCCAGGGTCCTATCTGAAGATGAACATTCTCCCAGAGTGTTGGCCAACATTAACGCCTCAGGTGCATCACTAATACAAATCATCAGGACTTATAAAGTGTTGCTTCCCGTAGGAGTTTGCCAAGTGTAAATTGGTTATCACACTTCCTTCAATTACAACAATGACTAAACTTCTCTAAGAATTAAATTAACACTTCAAGTTGCCTCAAGGTTGTGAAAAGTTTAACATAAATGGAAATTCTTGAATCATTCTTTCTTACCTCAAATCCACAGTTGCTATAGTGCCCATTCTGCTTAAAAGAGCCCCTTTACTGAGGCGTTTAGCAATGAACGCTCGAAGCTCTGACTCAGCTACAACAGACAAGTTAGATGCCAATAAACAGAGGCTGTGGAAAATACAATGGTTTTTTTGTTTAGCAAGTTGCACAAAGCATTTCACAAATATAAACACCTTTAAAGACTTGATCTCATCTTCAGATCATTTTTGTGTTCGCAGACTCATACAGCTATCCACTACTACAGAATTAGTATATATACCTTTCCAACGTTCAAAGAAGAGAGACGCTCACGTTTCACAAGGGCAATAAATGTTACCCAGTCGAGGAAAGAGGATACCAAATGATTTGTGATGAGTTACCATTCTCCAATAGGCTACCAGATAATACAACAAAAACAAATTGCTGGAGAAACTCAGCAGGTCTGGTGGCATCTGTGGGAAGAAGGCACAGTTAACATTTCAAGTCCAATTTCTGATGAGAATCTAATGATCATTATCACTTATTCAGCTTTTCTATCCTGGCCTGCTATCCATAATCTCCTTATTTACCTACCCCTTTCATATCTTCCCCCCGCCACCACCAACAAAAAAACTTTAACATAAATACTGCTCTCTTTCTCAGTTACTAACAGTTCTGATGAAGAGTCACAGAACTCAAAACATTAACTCTGATTTCTTCTCACAGAGACTTTGGCACCAGCTGAGTTAATCTGCAGTTCTTTACCATCCAGCTAAGACCATCTGGAAAGTGTAAGAACAGTAAGAGAGTCAATCACACTGAATCAGACAGAAACCTGGCAGGGGAGTTGGGTAAGATGAAAAAGTTTCCCATATTGGCAAATCAGATGCAATTGAAAGAAGTTTTTAGACGATCTTTATTTCAGAGCACAGAAAAAAGGAACATGGTTGCCTGGTCACCATGATAACCTAAACTGGCTCAGTGCCTGTTTTCAGACATGGAATAGTTTCGATTTTAACATTCCCCTCGTTATTAACTCATCCACTCCTGACACCTCGATCCAGCTATGCTAAGTGACTGGTGACTTCTCTCTTTAAATCCTGTGTTTGGAGGATTTAGAAAAATCAAAAAAAAATGCAATTATTTGTTTTTACAAGGTTAAACTTTGGCATCACCCATTTCCTGACATTTTCTCAGGCAACCGTAAACTTTGGTTTTGGTCAATTTTGTAGGGTTATATAATCTGGAATCACCACAGGGAGACAGCACAAACTCCACACCAGCAAAACAAATTACTGCCAGTGTGCATCATTCATCTACAATAAAACATGTTACAATACCTAGTAAAATTAAAACAGAATAGGAAGGAAAGGGCAGTACTAAACCAAGACACTGCCTGTTAAATCGTTAGCATAGCTAAACTCAATGTGTCATTTGATCCATTCCTCCAAACACTCCCCATCGATATTTATTCTGAAATTAAAAACATTGTGTTTTGTTGTTTTCTTTGATTTGTTACTTGCCCCTTGTATTTAAAAACATTTGCAAGCATGTAATCTTTAAAATTCTATCAAGCACTTCTAGTTGTGTAGATCTTTACGGGGCAGAAGTGATAAGGGGTGGCACAGCGACTGCCTTCTTTACCTGAAGTCCTCCTCAGACACTGTATCCTTGGAGCATGTTTCTGACGACTCATTTCTTCTGTCACCTTCATCTCCTAGCTGCAGAGACCTGGAAGACAATTTGCAATTATTGTCCCATTTCTATCATGGTACAGAGGCAGAGGCCACTCCCAAATGATTCAGTGGGCAACTGAAACAGAAATTAATACACCCATCTTAAAGGCTCATACATAATCACAGAGTATGTTTACATATGATTTGGTGCTCACATTCTTCCAAGTAAACCAATTAATTAACAGAACCATTTGGACCAACGTGGTGAGCTGTGGTTCTTTGTATCACAAAAGGCACATTTCAGATCTGGGACCTTTCATCAGGGTTCTGTTCCTCTTCACATCTGTTGTCAGACCACAGACCAAAAGAGCATTTCCAGCTTTTCATTTTTATTAAAAATACAGAAAATTTACTTTTTCAAGTAAAAGTATTGCCCAAATGAGACAGGAAGTGTAGATTACAAGAATTGGTAAAGAAAATTGGAGCTATTCAGCCCATTTAATTCACGTGCTCATGGAGATCAAATTTCCCCATTAAAAATCCAACTGGCTTGAATGGCTCCAGAGCTTTTCTCTCCTGCACTGTCTTTCCTTGGGATACGTACTAAAACACGCTGTATGTACATGTACCTCCTGACAGCAGCCCCATTCCACAGATAAGTTGACCTATTTTATTTAGGCCAATAAGTGGCAGAGTGAGTCTGCACCATGGCTCAGTGGTTAGCACTGCTGCCTCACAGCGCCAGGGACTATGGTTCGATTCCAGCCTCGGGCGGCAGTCTGTGTGAAGTTTGCACGTTCTCCCCATGTCTGCGTGGGTTTCCACCAGCCACTCTGGTTTCTTCCCACAGTCCAAAGATGTGCAAGTTGGGTGGATTGGCCATGCTAAATTACTCATAGTGTTCACGGATGTGAAGGTTAGGTGCATTAGCCACAGGAAATGCAGGGACAGTGTAGGGGGATAGGTCTGGGTGGGATGATCTTCAAAGGGTTGGTGTGACTTGTTGGGCAGAATGGCCTGTTCCCACACAGTGGGGATTCTAATTTCGCCCAGTGTTCCCTGGCAGAAGTCACCATTACAAATAGCCCTTCTAAAACACAAATCTGGGTGATCCACTTCAACAAAAGGTGCTTGAAATAAAGTAACGTTGCATTCCTATAGCACCTGACAATTATATTGGAGAAATTCTGCAGGTGGTATCTGTGCAGAGAGAAACAGAGTAAATGTTGAGTTCTTCACAACTGGAGCTCCTCTGTAAAAAGAGTCACACTGAACTCGAAACCTATTTCCCTCGACAAAAATGCTGCCAGACCCGCTGAGTTTCTCCAGCATTTTCTGTTTTCATTTCAGATTTCCAGCATCCACAGTACTTTGCTTTTAATAATATTATTGTGCACGTCTTTATGGTAATATCTTAATCAATGACCACAGAAGTCCAAGCTTACAGGTAAACTCTGCATAGTTTGTTATTGAGCATACTACAGAGGAGGATGGTGACAAAATACAGGAAAATGTGAATAAACTTACAGAATGGACATGTTATTGGCAAGTGAGCTTATATACATGCACAAGGTGGTAACCTTTGATGGGAAGAAGTGACATATTTCTGGGAGAGTAAGTGTCTAACTGAAGTAGGCATCAAGGATACCAATGCATGAATTAACATTCATAGGGGTATAATAAAGCAAACAACTCATGCCTCATTTCTACAGAAAACAAACTGAAAAGCAACAAAGTTATGTGAAGCATGTATAGATTCTCGATTTGACCACACTGAGTATCATGAACGTTTGGTCTTCATATAATTTCAATGGTACAGATACATCAGAAGAAAGCATTTAAAAGTTTACCAGTATAAAACCAGAACTGTTGCACTTCTGACATTACATAGTGACTACATTTTAAAAAGTGCTTAATTGGCTATAAAACATTTTGGAAGTCCTCAGGTAATTACCCCAAGAGTAATGAAGACATAAATGGATCCAGGGATGAGATTACAGTTGCATGTATCAACTGGGCATAATATGTTTGCTTTCCTGACAGAGAAAAGGCTCAAATGGGATTTCACAGAAGTATTTGAAATCATCCAGTGTTTAAATGAAGAAAGAAAGAAGGAACTGTTCTGATGTCAAAGAGGACAATCATCAAAGGGCACTGATGTAAGACAATTGACAGAAGAACCAGACTTAATATAAAGAATAAAAATCTCTTAAATTTAAATGGTTAGGATTTGGAATGCATTACTTCATAGGCTGGCAGAAACAGACTCGACAGCAGCATCCAAAGGGAAACTGGATAAATACTCGACGGGAAAGAAATACAGGGACTGGGGGAAAGAGGAGCATGGGACTAACTGGATTGTTCTTCAAATGAGGAAAAAAAACTGGCACACACCTCAATTTTCCAAATGGCCTCTTTCTGTGCTTTTCTGTGACTACAATTCAAAATTAGGAATTCTATCTACCAGGGCTCAGTGTTTTGTTCAGAGAGATGAGGAATAACCCGAAAGGGAGTATTTAAAGGTTGTTAAAGGGTTTGACAGAGCAGGTGCAGAAAAGATCTTTTCACTTGTGGGCAGATCAGAACTAAATGGTCATAAGTATGAGATAAATACAATGTGGAATTCAGAAGAAGTCTCACCAGAGAGTGACAAGAACATGAACTTGCTAACAGAAATAGTCAAGCAAACAGTATTTTTGGAGTGGTGGGGCCAGGATTGCATCAACCATAAGAAACATTCGGCCCCTCGAGCCCGCTTCACCCTTCAATAGGATAACGGCTGATCCAACATTGTTGACGTCCACATTAATGCATTGCTTCTCCCCTCCCCTCCCCTCCCCACCCCACCCCACCCCACCAACCTTTGATTTCGATACTGATCAAGAATCTACTTCAGCCTTAAATATACACAAGGACTCTGGCCTCACACCTCTCTGTGACTAGGAGTTCCTAACACACTCTACACTCTGAGAGAAGAATCAAGGAATACAGGGATGGAGAGGGTCAGGGAGGTTCTTGTGAATCATAAACAACAACAACAACAACAGGGACAGGTTTCTGTGAGTACCGTCCGTGTAGGGGGAGGGTGGAGGGAAGCGCTGGCGGCCGCTCTTTGCTGCGAGAGGCCGAGGATGAAGGCCGCACCTCCCCAGCTGGGCCTGACCTGTGCCTGCGGTACAGGCTGTAGAAAGCGTCCGTCTGCTGCTGCTCCTCTATCTCCACATCCGTCTCCTTCTCATCCCCGTCCATGGAGTCCTGCAAGGAGGTGTGGCTGATCATCACTGGCCGAGTCCCGATCCTAAACCGAATAGGGGACGCAGATGGGAAGCCGTTAGAGGAAGCACCAATTTTTTTCGTCCACCCTTCTATAACAGTCCGGCTAGAACCCCCTTCCCCGGCACAAACGTTCCCAGTGGAGACTGAGATTTAGACATTGCTGAGCTGATCCCCTGCTCTACAGCCCTTTCCTAAAATAAATCTCATGATGGATTTACATCCTGAATCAATGTATAAATTAAATATTCAGCTTGCCTCAGTATCAGTTCTGACTTTGAGTCAGAAGACCGTAGTTTAGTCCACTCTACAATTAAAAGAAATGAAAACAAGGACTGCAGATGTTGGTCTGAAACAAACAAAAACACATTGTTGGAAAAACTCAGTGGGAAAAAATAGAGTTAACGTTTCAAATCCAATGCCTCTTAAGAAGAGCTATACTGAACTCAAAACATTAACTGTCTTTTCTCTCCACAAATCATTATTTATACAGAGATAGTAGGAACTGCAGATGCTGGAGAATGAGAATAACAAGGTGTAGAGCTGGATGAACACAGCAGGCCAAGCAGCATCACAGGAACAGGAAAGCTGATGTTTCGGGCCTAGGCCCTTCTTCAGAAATGGCGGAGGGGAAGGGGATTTCAGACTGGCCTGCTGTGTTCATTCAACTCTACACCTTGTTATCTCAGACTCCAGCATCGGCAGTTCCTACTATCTCTGGTGGTGGAGAGTTGCTTTTCAGACTGGAGGCCTGTGACCAGCAGTGTGCCACAAGGATCGGTGCTGGGTCCACTGCCTTTTGTCATTTATATAAATGATTTAGATGTGAACATAGGAGGTATAGTTAATAATTTTACAGATGACACCAAAATTGTTGGTGTAGTGGACAATCAAGAAGGCTATCTCAGAGTACAACGGGACCTTGATCAGATGGGCCAGTGGGCCCAGAAGTGTCAGATGTAGTTTAATTTAGATAAATGTGAGGTGCTACATTTTGGAAAGGCAAATTAGGGCAGGACTTACACACTCAATGGTAAGGTCCTGGAGCGTGTTGCTGAACAAAGAGACCTTGGAGTGCAGGTTCATAGTTCCTTGAAAGTAAAGTCACAGGTAGACAGGGTAGTGAAGAAGGTGAGATAACAAGGTGTAGAGCTAGATGAACACAGCAGGCCAAGCAGCATCAGAGGAGCAGGAAGGCTGACGTTTCGGGCCTAGACCCTTCTTCAGAAATCTACTATCTAGTGAAGAAGGTGTTTGGTACGCTCTTTATTGGTCAGTGCATTGAGTATAGGAGTTGGGAGGTCATGTTGTAGCTGTACAGGACATTGGTTAGGCCACTTTTGCTCTCCCTGCTATAGGAAAGATGTTGTAAAACTTGAAAGAATTCAGAAAAAAATTACAAGTATGTTGCCAGGGTTGGAGGATTTCAGCTATAGGGAGAGGCTGAATAGGCTGGGGCTATTTTCCCTGGAGCATTGGAGGCGGAGGGGTGACCTTATAGAAGTTTATAAAATCATGAGGGTCATGGATAGAGTGAATAGCCAATGTCTTTTCCCCAGGGTAGGGGAGTCTAAAACTAGAGGGCATAGGTTTAAGGTGAGAGGGGAAAGGTTTAGAAGGGATCTAAGAGGCAATGTTTTCACAAAGGGTGGAGCATGTATGGAATTTGCTGCCAGAGGAAGTGGTAGAGGCTGGTACAATTGCAACATTTAAAAGGCATCTGGATGGGCATATGAATAGGAAGGGTTTAGAGAGAAATGGGCCAAATGCTTGCAAATGGGACTAGATTAATGTCGGATATGTGATCGGGATGGACGATTTGGACTGAAACACGGGTCTGTTTCCGTGCTTTACATCTCTGTGACTATAACACTCTTCTTAATTGAATTATCAAGGCAGCTTCCTAACCCTTTTCAGCTTTTAAGGTGGAGTTGCATCAGAATCTTTGGTTAGCCAACTAATCAAAGTATACACTGCAGAGGTTCACCAATGTTCCTTCGACAGCAACTTCCAAACCATTGACCACTTCCATTTAGAAGAGCAAAAGCATCAGATACATGGGAACACCATCTCCTGCAAGTTCACCTCCAAGCCACTCACCATCCTAACTTGGAAATATTTTGCTGTTGGGTCAAAATCCTGGAATTCCCTCCTTAACCATATTATGGGTCTACCTACAGCACACGGACTGCTGCGGTTCAAGAAGGCAGCTAAGCACCACCTTCTCGAGTGCAACCAGGGATAGGCAATGACTGCTGGCCCAGCCTGAGATGCCCTGAATAAAAAAATTGCAGTAACTTTATTGTATTATCTTTACTAAGTTCACATCAATTACATTTACTAATGCTTGTTGCTCACCCCAAGTCGATACCTTCAATGATCTTCAAACCAATCCCAATAGCTTGCTAGGCTGTTTCAAAGGGCACTTAAGAGTCAATCCCATTGCTCTGCATCTGGAGTCACATGTAGGCCAGACCAGCGGTGAAGATGGAAGTTTCCTTCCTTAAAGGACATTAGTGAGCCAGATGCTTTTTTTCTGACAATTGAAAATGGTTTTATGGTCATCAGTAGATTCTTAATCCCAGATATTTTTTATTGAATTTAAATTCCACCATCTACCATGGCGAGATTCAAACCCAGGTCCCCAGAACAATAGTTTCTGGATTAATAGTCTAGGAATAATACCACTGGCCATCACCGACACATCCATGGAGATAGAAACGAGTTAACATTTCAGGTGCAGTATGATTTCTTCAGATCCCGGAAAACTCCTGATTCTTCCAGATGGGTTGGCAATCCTACAATTCAGCACTCCATCAGTACCGCACAGCATGTCACCTTTAATGTTGGTCTAGGGTATTTGAGCACACAAAGTCCAGGCTCATTCTCCCATGTAATACTGAGGAGTGCTGCACTGTCAGAAGTGTCACCTTTTGGATGAGACATTAAAACAAGGCCACACCTGCCGTGTAGAAAAAGCCAAGACCATTATTTTTTGAAAAACACAGATTATTTCCCCCTGTATCCTACCCTGGCCAACTTTCCTCCTGCTGCAAAAAACTAAAACACATTAATTGTTTGTATTATTATCTGCCAAGTTTGATTGTGTCTCAATAATAACTGAAGTAATTCAATGGCTGTGAGGAGTTTCGGGCCATTCTGAGGACCATGGGAAAAGGTCGGGTCTTTTTACTGCGTGGCTAAAGCAGGCTCATTAGAAGATTGGAGCTAAATAATCCAACAGAGTAACTAGGCATTTTAAGGATGTATTAGCCTTATCACAACCAACATTACCGGTTTCAGTGACGATCTTGATCAACAGTGACTGCCAGAATTCAAATAACATTTAAATAACACTCAAATAACAATTGGATACTCAAATAACCAATTGATTTCATTGTGAAAGAAAGAAAAACAAATATTAATCAGCGAAGCAGAATTTATAAGGAATGTCCTGAATCTTGATTGAAAACGAAAATTTGAGAAGCACCATTCCATCAGTCTACTCTTAATAGGAGGATCTATCAAGTGGTACTTGCAAAGGAATAACCTGCTCACTGACACCCAGTTCAGACTCTGCCATTGGTACTCGGTTCCTCAATACAACTGCGGTCCAAATGTGGACAAAAGAGCTGAACTCCAGAGGTGAGGTGAAAGTGACTGCCCTTGACACCAAGGCAGCATTTGACCCCATGCGGTACCAAGGAAGCTGAGCAAAACATTGCTGTTTCACTCTATTGTGATCATTCCCTGGAATGTGAACTATTAACACCTGAGGCAAAGATGGAAATCGTGTCATGGAGTCATAGAACAAAGAATAATACAGCACAGGGATGGGCCTTTCAGCCCTCCAAACCTGTGCCAACATATTTTGCCCTTCCATACTTACAGGATCAGTGTCCCTCTATTCCCTTCCTATTCATGTATTTGTCCAGGTGCTTCTTGAATGCTGTTGTTGTGTCTGCTTCCACAACATCTTCTGGCAGTGTGTTCCAGGCACTCACAACTCTTTGTGTGAAAAACCTGCCTCACACGTTTCTTTTAAACTCCCCCCACCCCGCGCCTTGAACCTGTATCCCTTAGCAATTGATCCCTTCACCCTGGGGAAAAAGCCTCATACTTTCCACTCTATCCATGCCATTCACAATCTTATAAACTTCTATCGGGTCGCCCCTCAACCTCCTGTATTCCAGTGAAAACAAACACAGTCTATCCAACCTTTCTTCATAGTTGTCCTCATGCAGCATGAAACAAACCATTTGGTCCAACTACTCCACATTGACCACGTTCCCAAACTAAATTAGTACCACTTGCCTGAGTTTGGCCCATATCCTCCAAACCTTTTCTATTCATGTACCTATGCAAATATCTTTTAGATGTTGTTACTGTACCTGCCTCCACCACTTCCTTTGACAGTTCATTTTATACAACAATCGTGCTAAAAACATTGCCCCCTCATGTCTTTTTTAAAACTCTCTAGTCTCACCTTAAAAACGTGCCCCCTAGTTTTGAAGTACCCACCCAAAGGAAAAGACCTTTGCTCTTCACCTTATCTATGCCTCTGTCTTATCAACCTCTCTAAGGTCACCCCTCAACCTCGTATGGTCCAGTGAAAGAAGTCCCAGCCTTCCCAGCCTGTCATTATAACTCAGATCTCTATTCCCAGAAACATCCTTGTAACTCTTTTCTGAACCCTCTCCTGTTTAATAATATCCTTTCTGTAGCAAGGTGACCAGAACTGCACACACTATTCCAGAAAAGTCCTCACTAATGTCCTGTACAACCTCAACATGACATCCCAACTCCTATTTTCAAAGGCTTGCTACAGTGTTCCAGCAAAGCCCAACACAAGCTGGAGGAACAACACCTCATTTTCCACTTGGGGACCCTGCAGCCCTCTGGACTCAATATCAAGTTCAATAATTTTAGGGCCTAAACTCTCCCATGTCCCACCCCCCTACCCCACACACCAGGCCTTGTTATCACATAGCCTGCCATTATACACTACCTATTGTTAGTCACTAACAGTGCCCATTAATAACTATTCACCCTCCCGGCCAAATCATTGTCAACTCCTTTGTCTGTCCAACTGCTCTTCTCTCTCTTTGGGCTCTATCCTATTGTTTATTCCCTACCCCATCCCCCTCCCTACCTTCTGTATA